GCAGTTTTAACTTAAGCAAACCTCGAACAAGATCATTATTAAACAAATTTATCAAATATTAAAATTTACATAATCAAGTATTTTATGCATAAAATTGTTTCATCAATAACTGCAAAAAAAACACATAAGTGAAGGATCTGAATAAACAATATAACAATTATCTGAAGTTCTAGTTCCTTTCAAAACATGTTAATTTTTTCCATTAGTTACAAAACACCCTTGTTAAGTAAAATTGATCTCAAATTTCTCATCATATATTTGGCTAATATTCAAAAAATTAGCAGCCAAACCTTTAACATATAGAACATTTTTTAATTCTCCAATGCCTGAAAATTTAATCTTACATTTACAACTTACACTAAAAGCATTACGATCACCAAAAGTAACGGTTCGAGCTGAACATTCCTTAAAAGTGATAAACAATGTTTTATCCCCTATCATATGCCTAGAGCAACCACTATCAAAATACTAACCACATGGACCTAGTGCTCTAAGTGCAGTGTGCATGGCAAGGCATTTAAAACTATCATTCTTTACCCAAACAATTTTAAATTCATTATGCAATGATTTCCCTATAATCTTAGGCAAAATGTTACAAGACTCAGAAGACTTTTTCTCTTTATTCATTCTCTTCTTCTTATTTGAACTCTCTAGATTTTTCAATTTCTTCCCAAGTTTAATTTTTCTTTTCTGACACTTATACTTGGTATGACCTTTTTCTCCATAAAAATGACATGTTCAACTAAGTTTGGGAGAATTAGTGATAACAGAAGATTTGGTTTCATCTTTCACAAAAACTTCTTTAGAATTTTTAAAATACAAATCCCTTGAAGTTGAAGCCAACTATTTGTTACAACTAGTTTTCTCAACCACTTATTTCAACTTGTCAAATTTGCAAGTGTCAGTGTCAAATTTCTTAAAAGACTATTTAGAATTAATAAAATCACTACTCAAATCATCAATTTTAAGTTCAAGCGATTTATTAAACCTTTCTGCATGTTCAAGTTCCTTTTCTAGAAAATCAACCTTATGAAGAATATTCAAACTTTTATGGTTAAGTTCTTCCAAATTTTTATTAGATACCGAAACTTCTAACTTATAAATATCTCTATCAAGTTCCGCAAGTTTCAATTTCTCCAATAAATTTTCAAAATCCTTTTTAAACTTAGACCACTCGACATTCATGCTTGTGACAAAATCAAGAACAGAAGGTAATTAAGGCAACACATAAAATGAATTAACAGACAAGATGCAAAAATCAAAATAAATCAACAAGTATGACATACTCAATATGTCGAGTAACCCGCTCTGATACCAAGTGTGAGTTACGTGGTGCAGAAGTTATTAGTTGATTAAGTTATGATTAACACTCTAAATGACCTAGATGAGGTGATTAGGAAACATGCATAATTTTTATGATTGATTAATTTACCCACAAGTATGATCAATTAAACATCGCAATCACAACTATAAATACTAAAAAGTAAAGCAAGTAAAGTAAAGAGATGACACTAGAATTTTAGTGAGGAAACCAATTGGAAAACCTCGAGGTTTTGTGCGCTATCCCAAGCGTAAAACGATCCACTATGTATGAAGCAAAGTACACCGAACTTTGACTCAGGCTCACACCCATTCACTCTATCAAGACTCAATCCGTTAAACACCCCTTGCTTTGCGACTTCCTGTCCAATAGCTCTCGATTTCAGACTTATGCCTCGAACCTTGTAGAAAGATTGTTGGTAGATCAACAACATTCCGTAAGTGCTTTGACCCCTTCAAAGTGTGATCGGAAAACCTTCTTCTTCAAATCTAAATTTTATGTAAATGTAGATAAATCCTACTTCTCGGAATTTCTGAATCTTTAATTAAGTTTTAATTCTGATGAGATAGAGAATAACGCTCCTAAATCACTATTGTGTTTATATGTATGCTCTCAAAACCAATAAGAAAAATCATGTTTGATTTTCTGAAGAATATCTCTCAAAAAGGCTCTCTCAAAATAATAAATTTATGTTCCAAAAAACCGCACTGAATTTTGAGTAAATGAAAGATTATATAGAATTTTGGAAGACCTAAAAACACTAGGAAAAGAAGCCAACTTTGTGCACAATCAAAATAGAAGAAGTTTACCCAAAATAGGAATAAAAATAGACCAGGAAACAAAGTTACCAAAAATATATGAAGGACTTGAACCGATTCAAGTGGGATTAAACCAGTTCACGTTGGCCAGAAGACAAATCAAGAAATCGACGTAGAAACTTGAACCAGTTCAGGTAGGGCTGAACCGGTTCAAGTTGGCCGGACTTGAACATCTTGAAAAGCCTTGAAAAGTTGAACCGGTTCAAGTGTTGGTGAACTAGTTCAGGTTAGGGAGAATATAAAACTCTCTCAAAGCCTAATTTTGAGTCTTGACAAAGCGAACAAAAATCTACAACTCAATCGGGCTTATTTTGACAACGAAATTAGTCAAAATATAAATTTATATTTCACACAACCATCAGACCAAAATTAGATTTCTCCAAAGAAGTGGTCAGTGGTTCAAGCCTTCATGAAAATATGAGTATGTGAATTTGCTTAACCTTCCCGAAAGAAAAAAATTCCAAGCATCGATTGGTCAATTACCCAAACCAACCAATATTTGTGGGAGGAGGTTGCACTTGGATGCTACTAACACATCACCATTCACTTTTGTATCCCATATGTGCTTACATCCCACAAGCATTGGTTATTTGTTAGCGTCCCACAAGCATTGGTAAAATAAAGACCATTTTAGTGTTGAATGCAAAGAAAAATAGAATTCCCTTGATTAAACACTGCAAAAGGTAATCTAAATATGCAAAAAAATCATTAAATCACAAATAAAAAGACACTTTTTTTTTTTTTTTTGAATGCAAAGAAAAATAGAATTCCCTTGATTAAACGCTGCAAATGGTAATCTAAATATGCATAAAATCATTAAATCCCAAATAAAAAGACAATTTTTTTATAAAAAAAAAAATAGAGTAGTTACAAATATTACATACCTGAATCTCTTGAAAAAATGATGAATGTTGGTGAAGGAAGATGGGTGAAGAAGAGTATCCGAAGATGAGAAAAACAAGTTTTTATAAAACTTTGTTGAAAATAGATTTTGATTTCAAAAGTATGACTTCTTTGTTTAAATTTAAAAATAAAAATAAAAAAAAAATTATAGGACTTAACTTTTTTTTCTCCAAAAAATAACTTATTTAGTGGCAATTTTTTTTTTTTTTACTTTCTGCAACACACTTGTGGCCGCTTTCTTTGTAGCCTTTTAGAAACTAAAAGGCACCGTCTTATTTTCTATTTATGGCCACAAATCCTCTTTGTAGCTGGTTGTTAGCATGGCAACAAATTTTTTACGCCAAAATATTTATTGAGAAGATGTAAGAACCAAAAAAAAAAAAAAACCTATACAATAACGTGTATATTTTTTTCAAAATAAAACTATTTAATATAAATATGCTTCCTGTAATGTCGTAATATTCCTTTTGCCGATGTGAACTTCTATTTTGAAGCATAAACATCTTTCACAATGTTCTTGAAAAAATTGGTCCTCTTCCATTATAAAAGAAAATAAGATCTCACTAAAGCACAAACCTTGGTGTTTAATTTTATTGGTTGCAACGTAGGCTTAGGATAGAAAATGTATGACTTATTAATACTACGCATTCTAGATCCTATTAACTTATAAAATAATCTACTTACAAATTTGAAATTTAACCAATCACACAACAATTTAGTAAGTTACTATGAAATATACATGCACACTCCTTTTTAACTAGATACACTTTTTTTATTATTTTCTAATGTAAATGATAAACACATCCCTAATATTTGATTTTTTTATTTTTTTATGTTCTAATGTAAATGACAAATACATCCCCAATATTTGATTTTTTTATTTATAATTTAGGGATACTTGTGTCATTTCATTTTAAAAGAGCGTATTCGGTTAAAAGCACAGTAAGCTCTCAATCATCTTTTGTCATTGGCAAAAAACTCACACACCACTTGTACCCCCCTTTATTTCTTGAAAACTTGAACCGTCCACTTTGAAATGTGACACAAGCCATTGATATCTCCTTCTACTTCTTCTTTTATTATTATTATTAAATTTTTTTTTTTTTTTTTTTTTTTTTTTTTTTTTTGTTGGGATTAAGTACAAAAAATACTTTCGCTGTATTCAAGATGTGCAAAAAATTCCCCTATTAGAAAAAGGTGCATATAATTCCATGTATTATCCAGTTTTTGAGCAAGTTGCTCCTTAATCAACTATTTTGACCAATTTTTTTATCAAAATACCCCCCAAAGAATATTATTTTATTTTTCTCTCTATCCTTTGTCTGTCTTCAAAATCTGTGTGTCCATTCATCACGATGCCAGCGAACTTTTGAAATCTCTCTGTCCATTCATCACGGTGCCGTCTCCAGCAGATCAATACAACAATATTTTCGCCTTATCTATTAGAAGCAAATTCTTTTTAATTTGTCTTACTTCACATTTGATCAAATGATAATAATTAGAAATTTTTTTGCATCTCCCTTAAATAATGAGGATGTATTTTTTTTTACACTTAACTCTTAGTTTTTTATACAAAAGTTTTCATCGCTTGTATACATTTGTACATGTATATATATCATGAAAATGTTCATTCAATGACTACTTATCAGATTCAATTTATTATCATTTTAATAAAAATTACTTCAAGAGGTAATTAGAAGTAGAAAGATATTCGTGTTATAATAAATATTATGTAAACCATATAAATAACAAATATATTAAATTGTACGGAATGAAAACATAAATTTAATATAACCCATTTCAAATAATTGAGAAAATATTTTAATAATTATTGTTGGTCTATAACAAATTCATTTAACTAGAAAATTTATTTATCTGAAATTATGGATTAATTAATTTTATTTATTTATAAAATATGGGCAACAAATATAATTTCGTCCCAAAAATAGAAAGGATTCCCGCCCGGGCTAAAGTTTTGCGCGCTCTTCCTACGGATTATATACGACGCCGTTTACAAAGGGTCGATTCGACTTCATAGGGAGCGATTCAAATGCGATTTTGGGATTGTTTTCGAAGCAATTTCTAGCAAAAGAAACTTCCACCGAGCGAATTGAATCTTCATTACAAGGTTTGTATCCAGAATTTTTCCTTAATTTTTGGAATTTCTGCTTAATTAGGGTTTCGATTTTTTTGTGTTTTTGGGAAGAGATTTGGTCCAGAAATGTCTTCATTTTATGCAATCGCGAATGAATTACGATTTCTAGCAAGAAGATTGATCATATATATAGAGAGAGAATATTGAATCAGAAGAGTTAGGTTTAATTGTTAGTTTTAGTGAGAGAATACGTAAGGCTCGCATAGATAATCTACTACAATTGTTGTTGCCGATGAACCTGAGTGATTTGGTTGGTTGATTGGCATGAGTTTATTTGATTAATTGTTTTGTGGGTCTATTATAAGGTACATAGCCCATTTCTCTCTCACACACACACAGAAATTGGGTGTATGGACCCCTGAACTTTGAGCTACATCTGTTTACAACCGGAACTTATCTTTGTGTGTATACTGTATGTGTGTTGGTTTATTTTATATATGTATAATTTGCTTAGCATTAAGTTACCTTCCTTATAGGTGGAATATGTGTATAAAAGTTTGGAGTGGTTCACTTCACCCTCAGCAGTGCACTTGAAGATTATGATGCTTTTGATTGTATGACTGGATATATGGCCTAGCATGAATAATTTCTCCATATTATTGTTTATCAATTCTGAAAGCATTTATTATTATTATTATTATTATTATTATTATTGCAATTCTTTTGCTTGAGATTTTCTGAAAGAAGCAATAGAACTTTAGGGCTGCTACTGTTGATGCTTTGAACACTTCATCAATGTTGTCAATTAGATAAACATGAAGAAAAAGGAGAAGAAATGAAATAAGGAGATGTTTGACATTCCAATCAGCAAGATTAACAAGTCAGACCTTACCTGAAGAAATACAATGCATATTTCCTGAAACTTCTAGTGTTAAGACTAGTAAATGGGATGATGGGAAGGCTGATAAACAATTACAAAGCTATAGCATAGCTCACCTTCTCAGACTCTTTAACTTTAAATATCGAGTGAAATGAGTCAATATATATATATATATATATATATATCTATATATCCTTGATGAGATTCCCCGATTCTTGTTGTATACTACCCTTCTAGACTGTTCAGTAAAGTTGTATTGTGGTGAAAATGATTAATAAAAATAGCTATCATGCACTCCAAAAAGGATAAAACAAACAACTTTAAAGTACAATTATGGAAATATATTGATAAATTATTCAAGTAATACCCAAAAGAGAGAAGTAAATAATTTATTGGAGGGACTTTAATGAATTATGCCTGAATCACATTTGTCAAAATCACCTTAACCCAACAATAAAAGCTGAAACCAATTTTCTTTATTACGTAGACCTGCTGCATTATAGAACTGATTGCTCTTAAGATGGTGAAAGAAATAAATAATATGAAAGTATCTTTGTTTTGCTGCTTACTGTTGTTAGGTGTTGCTAGTGCCTCATGCTCGGTTTCAGCTTTATCAGCCATGTTTAAATTTTATGATTTTATCATGTGATCTTACTGCTTTACTGATCGCTGTTTTGGTTATTATTGCCATGTGTTTGGATTGGGTCACGAACATATATATTTCCACTCGTTTGTTGAAGACTTCATCGCTTATATTAGAAGTCATTAATATGTTTGCTTTTTTTTTTTTTTTTTTTGTTAATTTCTAAAAACCTGAACATTATGTATTCATTCATGTTTCTTTCTTTATTTTTTAATAATAATATAAAAATAAAAATAAAAATAAAAATTAGACATGTTCTGAATTATATTTTGACTCAAGATTGTCTTATTGTAGACTGCAAACAAGTTAACTATTGCAGTTAGAGTAAGGGCGGCAAAATTTGATATAACCCAGCAACACAACTCGAACACGACGCGAAGTTAGTGAGTTCTTGTCATAATTGTGTCAACCCATTTAACACATTAATTAATCGTGTCGTGTTTTAAAGCGTAACCCATTTAACCTAATTAGACCGTCTAATTGATCGTGTCAGTTGAACCCGATTAACCCATAACTTGTTTTAATCCAATACTAGGCACATTTTTGTTATTTCAATATAAACCCAATGTGGATATTGTACTTGCCCCCTTTTTTTTGTAATTGTCTATCCTATTTTTCATGAATTTAGTCATTTATGATGTCATTTTTTTATATATTATATTTGCATTTTATAAGAACGTTAATATACAAGTTACATGAATCATTTAATTTAATTGGATTAAATAGGTTATTAAACGGCTTATGTCATATTACCTGTTTAATAAACGGATCGTGTTCGTGTCGAGGGTTCCTGATACGATAATTAAATGGGTTGTGTTTGGATGGACCTATATAATGGAATACTATTAGATCAACATGACACGAATATGACCCGACAACACGAATTACCACCCCTATTAGAGATTGGTTCCTTCATAGAATTGACTTTGGCAAAACATTTAATCTTTCTCACTCTCGATGAGTGATTTTTTCTTGAAACAATTCTTGAATTTTCCCATTTATAGTACCTTGGGAATGCACAAATTAACTTTTACAGTCTATGGATCATGTTTTGTTCCATTAATTGGCAATTATGACATCATTTCAGCTATTCTCTAGACTTGAGTGTATGTAACTAGTCTATCTCATGTATCTCGTTTATTTGGAGAACTAAGGGGGAGATGCTGCCTGCCTAATTTTTCTTAGAATCTAAACAAGCAATTGATCTATTGACTCTAATGTAAATTGTGCATTCTTGAATGGGATAGAACCAACCCACCTATTAGAGAAATGATGAAGTTTCTAGGATTCATTATGCATGTGTGACGTTGGAACTTGACAGTAGTTGTTCATCTTGTGGTTGGGAAATGGATTTGGGTCGAAGTTGGATTCAAAATAGAAATAGGTGTTCCATTGAGTACATTCTAGGAGTAAAACGCTTTATGGACTTGACTAATAAACATATAGATTCACTTAACCAGACCCGTTGTCTATGTTACAATTGTAACGTCTTGTTAAAACATTTAGACGATGTGGAAGAGCACCTTTTTGTGTATAGGTTTAACCAAACATACACCATATTGGTACATCTGGTAATAATATACAAGACAAGTGATGATCAAATGGAATAACCTGATTTTATGCAAACATAATGGAAGACATACATGCACGAAAACTTCATGCGTAATTCAAGAGGGGAAGCATTTGATAACCACAGTTCATACATTCAGAAGCTCAAACACGTACTAGTTCTGAGGAACTGAATAATTTTTCAAGATTGTTGAGGGATATGCAGTATGAACCTGGGATGTGAGAACTATTTCAAACTGTATTTCCTGATTAAGTTGTTTCTCTTGAAGATATTTAATGGTTGGACTAGTAAATCATTTGATATGTTGCTTGAGTTGTTAAAGGATGTGCTTCAAGGTGGTGCAATATTGCTAAAATCTCACTATGAAACTAGAAGAAAAATGCAGAACTTGGGACTTAGATGACATGCACGTATAAAGAATTATTTATTATTTTGGAATGATCGCGAAAAGGATTAAAATAATTTAGTTTGCTGGGAAGGCTGGTATAAATTTGAGCCACGTAATGGCAGCAAGTAGATTGCTCAAATAATGCAACAGACGATCATATAGATGATTTCACTAATGATGATGAGAGTGAGAATAAAGATGATACATTGATCAATTACTGATTATGAAGAAGATGAAGAATCCATTAATAATGACAATGATACAGATTGATTGATGTAATTTCATCCTTTCTAAAAGTCAAATATAAGAACTTTAAAGAAGTGTTATAATCCTTTTTGTTAATTAATGATTACGTGTCATCTCACCAATTTTGAATATATGTCTGGTGCTTATTATAAAAATGTTACCATTTATTATTCTTCTCTTTTGTAGTTAAACAATATTTATAGTTATACTTTACAGGGGCTGCTTGCTTCTTGTTTTTTATTGATTATGGAAGTAGTGATGGAACAAATGATCGGCATGAGTGGTGGATTGCTACACATGGATTAAACATTGTGTATACTAATTTTTATATATAGTACTAACTTCTTTCTGGTAGATATGGCTGGACCCAGTCGTCGGAAACGAGTCACTCAGTCTACCCAGTATTTGGTTTACAACAACGTAGTTGGCCGTAGGTCAAGATCCATTCACAGGCAACCACAATTCAACCTTGCAGAGTTTATCGAGGCTAGACAGAGGTTTGAGCAGCTAGAGGAGCAGTTGCATGCCATGCGTGAGCACATGCAGCAGCAGTTTCATGCCATGCGAGAGCAGGCTCAGATTCACCAGGCACAGATACAGGAGCAAAAGAGGTCTATTAGCTCTTTGCAGTCCCAGCTCACCACTCTAACCTTATTGGTGGAGAAGCATTTGGCCACTCAGACCCCATCTCCTGGTGCTACTCATCTTACTTAGTAAGTTACATTTAACTTCAGTTGAACCACACTTTTATTCATAAATCAATTGAATTATATTATTATTAAGTTATGATTTGTGAAACATGTTCAATGATTACATAATTACATGTTATCTTGCAAGTTGGATTTTTGGAACATATGGAAAGAGAGAAACACAAGAATGTCTAAGAGTCTAAATGTATAGATAGGTGTTGTTTTTAAAAATATGCATTTATGATGTTGACCTAATACACCTAAACATCTTTTAACGTTGTGGATGTTGATTTTCCCCTAGCTGTATATTAGTTCTGAATTTTTGTAACCTATGGTGGATTGGCCATAAAGTTGCACTCTAATTAACGGTTGAGCAAATGGGACAGTTGTTTAGTGGTTGATGAGTAATTGGCTTGAGTTTAGAACTGACTTTGTTGCTTCAGATTCATCTTTCAAGGCAAATTTTTAGCCCACCATGAAATATCTGTCCCAAATAATGTGGTGATAAATAATAATCAATCGTTGTTCTTGGCCAATAAACAATGAGTTCATATGGATTGACGGGGTTGCTATTGGAGAAGTAGGAAGGAAAGAAAAATGGAGTCTAACTTACGTCTAGTTTGGTTATAAAATGAGGGAAAGAAAGGATTAGGAGAGCGGAGCATAATAACCCTTTGAAGATTGTTTTTTAGCTGTTCCCTCACCTGTAAGAGGAAATGGAGGAAGATAGTAAAAAAATTAGTGATTATCGGGTTTATTCCTTCTTTTTCACTTTTTAACGAGTGAATTCTTGTTTTGTTAATTCTAGTTATGTTTTTTTTTTTTTTTTTTCTTTTCACCCCTTAGTTATCTATAAGATGTTAATACTATCTTTTCTTTTTCTTTTTCTGTTTTTTTATTTATTTATTTTCTGTTATCTTCTGACCAAATAACCAATGTTACTGATATTTTTCCTTTCTCCCTGCTGGAAAAGACTAGAAATTAATAGATGAATTCAACTGGGACTGCCACCCAAGTTCAATGCGCTGCCCCATTATTTTGTATGTATTTAAACATGACGCTGTGATAAAATTCAGTTGCATTACGTTTCGCCACACAGAATAGACAGCTTTAGAATTACAATTGAAAAGAAACAACATATCATTGTAGTACATGTCTATACCAACAGTGTGAAACCAAAATTGTTTGTGGTTTCACTTTACATGTTCTTTCCAAGTTCTTACTGTCCATTTCCTTGTGTTTTTTCCCTCGTGACTTTCTCCTTATTGCGTCTATCCTTCTCTCCTACTGTGTGTTTTTTTTTTTTTTTTTTTTTTGGTCTTTGTATTGTATATATTGGTTTGTGAACTGTCACTTGTTTGGGACATGATATATATATATATATTCCCAGACTATGCATAGTATTTTTGCTAGTTGGCAGTTAGGATGATTGAATTTCATTACTAGCTAGAGGGTATTTTGGTCCGGTTATAGTTTATTAGTTTGTGCATCAGCAACTTTTGTTAATTTTTTGTAATTCTTATCTGTTTATGCTCTTCTTTAACCCTTTTTTTTTTTTTTTTTTTGCAGGTATTGTATTGATTGGTATTTTGGATTCCCATTTCTATCTTAATGTGTTTATGTCTAGAATATTTCAGCAATGAAATTTGCTTAGTTAGGGGACACGCTTTTTGGATAGTCTTTCTATTTATATTTCTTCCATGTATGAATGCGTGGACAATTTAATACTTGGATTACTATATACCAAATAGATGTTTTTTGTGTTTTTATGTTTTATTTAGATTTAGAGAGCACTCCACTTTTATCTAATTGCACTACATTTACCATTCTTTTTTAAAGAAAATGACAAGAAGGTCCTTGAATTCATTAATGCATTATTCCTTAATTTATAATATTATTATTACCCTTTATACAACTTTAACATTTTTTTACCTTCTTTTCTTTATTTACAATTTTTTTTTCTTTCTATTTGTTTTTTCCAAAAATCTTTTCAAATAAAATAATTTATTTCATACTAATAATTTAATTTTTGACAGTCAAAAAAAAATAATTTATTCTATAATGACTTTTTTTTTTTTTTTTTTTTTTGTACAATTAAAAGGGATATTATTCAACAAAGTTAATTTTTTTTTAGTCAAAAGAGATAAATTTTTTTTTTATATAATTTTTTATTGATCCTGTCAAAAGAAATAATTTGTTAAATAAAAATAACCCCTTTTTTTTTTTCTTTTTTTGGGTCTTATCAAAAGAGATAATTTATTTAATTTAAATAATATATATATAATCCTCTTATTTTCATACTTTTTTTCTTTTCTTTTTGGGATGTTGACAAAAAATATAATTTCTTCGATAAATATTTTTTTTGGAGGTTTTTTTGTCATGTCAAAAAAGATAATTTTATTATTGGTTACTTTTTTTATTTTTTCCGTCAAAAGCCTCAATTTATTCAGCATAAAATTTTATTTCTTGGTTCCGTAAAAAAATAAAATTATTTAATTTAGTTTTTGTCCTCCTAAAAGAGGCCTAAAATAATAAAGATTAGAGATGAGGAGAAAAAATCTAAAAGAACAGTTTTGTCATTTAAAAAATAACTATTATTTTTATTTACTTGTAAAGTTAGCGTTAGAATTGTCATTTCATTTAAGATTGTAGTGCAAACGTTAAAAAGTGAAGTACGAATATCGTCTCCCTAGATTTATTAATTTTGAGTGATTTGTGAGTGTGTAGGATATTAGTTTTAGATCGTAGCTATCTTTGTATAAGTTGCAAGTTTTGAATAGTTGATTTTTAAAAATTATGTTAAAAAAAAAAAAAAAAACAGTTAATTAAAAATATATATATATCAACAAAAATTTTGTCCCTATAGGCTATATTTTGCGTGACAATTGTGCTCATATAGCCACAAATAATTGTTGCAAATATTTATGTATACAACAATTAGTTTTTGGTTGTACGACAAATTTGTCAAGATTTTTCTGAGAGTGGTTTCTATCATTTTTAACAATTTAATAATACTTGAGTAAAATTTTTTTGGGATCCAATTTGATTTTTAATTTAGAATTGGAGAAAATTTAATAAAAAAGTTAAATTAAACTTTTTACAATCTTAAATTCAAGAAACCGATTTAGTGCTCTCAAATATAACATATATATATATATATATATAATTTTATTTAGAAATGAGAAATAAGGATCCCTAGTATATCAATAGGCCTGCAATGAACTTTCAAACAATGTTTCGTTATTTAACTGCTCATTTGACTTTACATCACCCGTTCTTATGAACTTTTATTTTTTTTCTTTTTTTTTCTTTTAACAAAAGTAAAACCATTCTTACAAGTTATCTACGCTTTATAGTAGATTAAAACCTTAGATAAATAACATTTGAAATTGGACTTATTTTTGTTGTATTTTGTGTCTGGAAAATTCGTTAAATAGTTCATAATTGTTTAGTAGTATTAGCAAATATTCTTATTGTGTTTATCACAATAATTACCAAATCACATTAATCGATAGCAAAAATTAAGAAAAAATTTTATTATTTTTTATACCCATAAATTAATTAATTTGGTTACGTACCAACAGCGTTTTCATAATTAATTGACACAAATCAAGTTGTGAAGTCTCGTTTGTTAATAGATGTCTCGATAGTCCAGTAAGTTAGTGCCTCCGATAAGTATAAATTTTAACTATTTATATCTACTAATATAATTTTTAACACTTAAAAATAAATAAATAAAGTCTTGTTTGTTAAATCAATAAGGAACAAGAGAACGTATAATAGATGGTATATATATATATATATATATATATATATATATATAGGAAGAAGTACAAATCTGTCTCCATTATCTGTAATTAATTTCTTCAGCCTAACCGATATTTTAATAACATGAATAAAGAAAATGTAACTGAACAAATAAAAGCAATTCAAAGACAATCAAACACGACCTGAAATGTTAAGAATATAAGTGAATGCTAAAGGAAAAACCGACCTTTGAATCATCATTTAATCATCTGTAAGTGCGAAAATGATTGGAGGGTTTCTTGGATTGCATGTGCACTCAGCACTTGTACTAGTATATATTAAAAATAAAGTATTATTTAATACATATCATATTTTCATGTTAAAAATAAAATATTATATAAAATAAGAAACCTTACCAACTACATATGGTTTAGTTAAAAAATCAGTCTCTTATTTTCATTTAGGCGTCACATTTTTCTTGTCTTTATTGCATGTGTGAGTGAGTGAGGTAACACATTGGGGGTGTCACTTATTAAAAGCTGACATGACACGTTGACAAATCAATACGACCCTAATTAAATCTTTCGTGGCAATTTGAAAAGTCAAAAGTCTCAAAGGACCAAATTTCGAGCACCCTGAGTCCTAGCATCGCTTCAGGCCCATTAAAAGTCTCGAAGGACCAAACTTCGAGCACTCTAAGCCCTGGTATCGCTCTAGGCCCATCAAGCCTCGAAAGATCAAACTTCGAGCACCCTTGTGATGTTTTCGATTTTCACCATTTTTCTTTTTCTGAAAATTTCGTCGCCACATGGGCATTTTCGTCTTTTCACGTTTTGTGTACCAAACACCGTGGGGTGTGCCGGGTGTATCGAATAATCGTTGGGAGCATTTTATTGAGCTCAGCACTCTTTGAAATGCAAGGTTGGTCGTTTTTGCATTTTTCAGTTTTTCGGACCGGACGGTCCCGTGTGGGACCCGCTACCGGTATTGTTGCGTACAGGAATTTTAGTTGGGTCCATTTGCATTTTATGCATTTTATTTTATGTGATTTATATGGTATTTATGCGATGGTGCACTCATATATATATGTATGGTGTAGAATTAAAGCAAAAAGAAAAAGAGAAAAATAAAAGATAGTGGCGAGACCCACCACTACCCATTAAGTGGTCTAGAGACTACATTCATTTCTTCATTTTCTCTCTCCCCGTTTGTTTTCTTCTCTCCCTCATTTTCTTCTTCATTTTCTCTTTTATTTTGCAACAAACTTTGATCTTTGATTCCTCTCTCAATACTTAGCGATTTTGAGTACCGTTTGAGGCAAAACGTAGAGCACGGCGAACTCTACACATAAGTACTAGCAATTTCACTTTTATGCAGCCTAGGGAGTCCGAAAATCTTGACCCATTTTGAGGGTTTTCGCAATTTAAGAGGTAAGGGTTTCTAGTCCACGAGTTTCTTACTCCCTAGTGAATCAATCTTTGTTAATTGATGCTTAACATACTTAATTGTGTTGATTACCTCTAAAAAGATTTGGTTTTGTATATGAAATTCATGTTTATGTGTATATGTGGCTTTGTGAGGCCAACATGCTTAGATGTTAATTTTATATACTTGTGTGTTTGCTAACTTGTTAGAATTTGTTAGGTGGGAAGCATGTTTATGTATAAATTCCTTATGCCTATGGTGTTAGTAATTTATTAGTAATTGTTGAATGAGAGCATGTTAAATTGTGTAGTATATAAATCTTTCATTTATCATGGCATTGAGAAAGTATGTGATGATCATGCATGTCATTGGGTATCAAAATGGGAAAGAAATTGTTTTGATATGAAAAGGGGAATTTTGGGAAAACAAATTTTGATAAAAAAAATTTGAGAAAACTCGATCACCGCGGAGTCACCAAAGGGCCGGTAGGTTAATGTAACCTAGAGAGTACTAGGGAGATTGTCCTAGCGTGGTTGAGCTATCTGGGCTCCATAATGACTCTGCGGAGGTACCAATGGTCAGGGACAGTAGCCAATCCTTCTCTCGGCGCTGAGGGGGTACCAAAGGGGGTTACATTAACAGTTTGAAAAGTTATAATTTTAAATGTGATAAAAATGGGGAGCGACATTGGCATGTATCGCATTCCATAGCATTCCATTATTCGAAGTTGAGATTGGTTATTATGTTGTGCTTTCCAATCATAGTATGACCCCCGCTCCTATTGTCCTCTTCTTTGTTTGGATTCACGGGGACATAAGAGGTGTGTCTTAGGTACCACCTACTGAGCAAATTGGTCACCCTATCATATTTAACATTTTTCAGGTCTCGGGGAGGAAGTGGTGGAGGACATCCCTCTACAAGCATGATAAGGAAACTCGGAGTGTGTTTTAGCACCTTTTGTAGACTTGGGCTTTTATTTTGTAAATTAGCACTTCAATGTATAATGATAGTGTTTAATAAAGCCTTGGAAATTTAACTATGAGTCATAGCTCTATTTTGATGTAAATTGTTCATGATGTAAAGCTTAAGTTTAAAAATCATGTAACTGATTTCAATGATGTTTTACGTGATCACGTGTTAGTACTCTAGTCCATGATCATTAAGTAACTCATATCTAGTGATTTAATTCGAGTTGGAATCATTGTAAAGTCTCCATTTCAGATCCCCTTTCATTTTTATAGGGCAGTATGTCAAATTCCAGCTTTAGGGCTCGAGGGAGCCATTTCGGTCGACCGAAATGCTATATCGGTCTACCGAACCAGATGGGTGCTCTCAGGATTTCTTGTTTCGGTCGACCGAACCATCTTCACACTCTCGAGATCTCTCATTTCGATCGACCGATGGAGGGTTTCGGTCGACCGGTTCTTGGGGGTCTGCTTCGGTCGACCGGAGTGCGCCTGTTTTGGTTGTTTTGTTCTTCCTTCTTGTTATTCTTCTCTCGACTCGTGGGGAATTGTTTTGAACCTTATGAAAACTCATTGATGATCCTTATGATGATGTTTGACGCTAGAAATGATGTGTTTAACGTAGATAACCTCGGGTTC